TCACTTCTCCACTGAGAATTCACCACCCTCAGGTTTCTCGCCAGCATCACCAGCAGGCCTCTCAAAGCGGCGAGGTGGCCGCCTGTCCACAGGCCGTCTGTCTGTGGGGGGGCGCCCTTCTCCCTGGCCGCCCTGGGGTCTGGAGCCATCACCTTCCGGCTTGCGGCCCATTCTCCTCATGCCAGCACCTAGGATTGACCAAAACAGGAGGATTAGAGGACCAATAGCACTGATAGATCAGGACCCACTGTTGAGCACCACACACAAGAAAGAGGGGGAGGGGGGTGGGGGTGATTGTTCTGTTTAACTGGAGCAAATAATTCCAATTAATGTGCAAAATCAAAAACATTCAACTGGTAGGGTCAATTTATTGAATACTCTGCAACTTTCGTGTCTGCAGTGTAATCAAATTAATAAACATAGTGTAAACTCCTGAAACTTTTAAGTACACAAAATGTATCAATCTTGTGGGAGAAATTTAATACAGAGGTGAGTGGTTTTACATTATAAAGGGCTCACGAGTTTGCTGCATTATCGTTCAATTCCTATTCTGAAATGTGTTTCTCAGTTAAATCACCCAGTTACTCTGAAGATGGAATTAACACCTTCATAGTCTTTAACCCTTCATGGCACATGGTTGACCACGTCTGGCCCAGTCCCACCCATTGACTAAATCACCAGCTACCAAAATAGACACCCTCCAAGACACAGCAGCAGCTGGGTGCACCATAGTCGTCGCACCTGTCTCATCTTCTCCCAAGCAAACAGCTATGAGCCTACTTGGCAGGCTAACATGATGATAATGGCAAGCTAACTGCCTGTGAGTAGGTATCCATCTCAGTCATTTCCTGACACTATATTTTTCACTTCTGTATGTAAAAATTTAGTAGTGAATTAAAGATGGAACAAATATATTGCAACATCAGAATACAAACGTTGACCTCATTTTAACAGGCAACGTTATCGATTAAAAGTTATAATAATATAAGCGGGAAAAGTTATTGCGCAGAAGCAGGTCGACCGCATGCACTGAGCATGTATTGAGCATGTATTGTGCGCCAATGGGAAGTGGCAGTTTGGAGGCTGTGCTTTAACACGCCCCACACTGCAACCACGAGGTTCATCACCATGAGAGCTCTGCTGCTCCTAATGTCTCAGTGACAAACACACCAGCAATTCGATTCCATTTATGTACTAGTTTATAAGTTATTTTATCAACGAGTTGAATTTGCATCTGTCGGATTTCGCTTAAACCGATTTTATTTAAATACGTATTATAACGTGAATAGAAACTACCTGCTATTGGCCTATTCTGGGTAAAGTCAGCAACAAGTGGCCTTACTGACAGTCACGATCTGACAGGAGTCAAATCTGAACACTTTGAGGCCACTTTCTTTGGTTACCCAGGCTGTCGGGTTCCACCTGCTCAACAAGGCCGACGAGGACAAGCCAAAACAAGTTGGCCTGCAAACTGTTTATCACCGAATCCCTTAAGCCGCACAGCTCCCATCGCAATACACGTTTGTTTAAATGTCATTGTCCCGTAAATGACAGCCCACCGAGACACAAAAGCAGCCACGCGGACCTCATGTCACGGGAGCTTATGAACCGTTGCTAGCTAGTAAGCAGCAACTTAGCCCGTTAGCTTAGAACCTTTAGTAGCAGCTTGACTAAAACCTAAAACGCAGAAATTGATTTTTACCATCTTTCTTGAGTGGGACGGGTGCCTGGGTCTCCTCCTTCTTATCGGCTAGTGGAACCTTTCTGTCTTTTTGGGACTCCTTTTTCGGCTGCTTGGCAGCCTGGGCTGCAGTCTTGGCGGCACCAGGAGCAGAAGCCTCCTTCTTCTTCTTCACTTCGGCTTGCTTCAGCAGCTCAAAGGGATCCGACTCGTCGTCAAATAACTGGTCGAACCGATTGGTTATGGCACAGCCAAAACCTTCTTGCATTTGTCCGGGCATGATGGCGCCCCTTCAGCAGGATTTTCCTCCGATTCTACGAGGCTTGGTGCGAACACTTCGCTAGATGAAGCCACAAGATGGCTGGGAAAAGGACCTTCTTCTCTTCCGGCGCGATAGACATCCGGGACCTCGGAGCTGGTGCGGGTGGGGCGTGTAGTTCTTTCAGAGCGATCAGCAATGGACCTAGATACAGGACACGTTAATGGAAAAACTACACTACCCACAATGCGGTTCTCGCCAGTGTTGCCAGCCTCTGTGAAGCCAAGCATGGGCGCCCTCGTACACACTCTTGTTTTGACTCCTCGCGAAAACCTCCTCAGACCTGCTGTTCCACAACACTGGATCAGCTTTAAAACCTATATATGGCTCAAATACTCCGTCACCCATGGTGACGCGTTAATATCTTTGCAAACCTCAGCCGACAGCAGGTTCTTATGTTAGCTGCCATTACATTTTATGTTGTTAGAATATAAAATAAAGAGAAATTACTGTCAAAATCTTCAGCAAAGTTCCACACAGTGAACAGACTGCCCTGACATTTAAATGTGGCTCAGAACAAGTATTCACACCACACTGAGCCCCAGGCTCTTTTTAAACCCTGCAATGTAGTGCTAGTGTAAACAACATGTCACACTTGCATGTAGATATGGAGTTAGCACCACTCCTTGGGGTAATAAAACCTTTTCCATATCGAATGTGGTTCTGTAGATAAGAGTGAAAACACGATGAGAGGGACCAGTAGGATATAGGAATATATAACCAATAGGTTACAGGAAACATAATTTCACCTTGATGCTGGGGCAGGGGGAGATGAGTTAACAACACAAGGTAGTGAGTTCAAGTTTGTTTGTGAATGCACACATTTGTTCAACATGATATATATGCTCTGTTTCAGGTAGGCTACAATCTTTATCAGTTTGGAATGTTTTCAGCATGTGTCTGTTTATGCATAAGTCAGTCTCTTTGTTTATTAGACATACAGGCTATCTGAGATATCTCCAAAAGTCGTTGACGACAAAAGAAATCTAAGAAATCTTTAATTGGAGTTGGTGCACAGATGAAGTATCTTTGGAAGGTGACCATTAAATGATTGATAAAGTCAGTTGTGAAACAGCATTGCATTTGGTATTTTAGCAGATAATCAAAAGACATAAAGGAAAAAACACTAATTCTTAGCGATTGCAGGTTTGAAAGTTGGAGAATTACTCAATGCTTGTGGAAGTTTGTGCTCAGTAAAGTGTCTTTGAGCACTGTGAGCTATGTCTTCCTGATAACTTTCATCATGAACAGGAAAAGCAATTCACCTTTACTACACAAACTTCACTCTCTGTTATTTCAACTTGAAATTCCCTAGTGACCTCAGAATTTTACACTGCCACATCTAAATCCTAATGGAGATCAACAAAATATTATGCCTACTTTTTAAATTTTTTAAAGGTTTTTAGAAAAAAAAAAAAAACATTCACAAAGGATGCTTCATCCTGGAATTTTAACATTTCCACATGCCTCAACCCAGCAAAGTTAGTTTTTAAAACATGGGCTAACATATTCAAATATCAATCCCCAGAGAAAAGCACTCAGCTTGAATGTCTCATTGATCATTGATGGTATTTTGGGAGTTGTGGGTGCTGGCAGAGTTTGACCTTAAAAGGACAGTCAAACTCTGCCAGCTGTTGGGCTTGTGTACATGAGTGATTGTCAGGGAGACAAAATGACTCAAAGCATGTAAGACCTGTTTAAATAGTTGCACTCATTCATAATCAGTCTGCATCTCATTTTGTAGCAAAGATACAAATGTACAATTACATTATTTACATCCCTACTTGTATTTACACTCAGTAGAGACAACCAAATACAGATAGGATTGAAAGTTAATAATACAGGTTTTGGGTTAATACAGTGAGTCTGAACAGTGGTGTCTCTGTCTGCTGATTTGTCCCCAGCTTTATCACTGAGTTTTTCAGCTTTATTAAATCATCATACAGGAACTAGTATGCAGCACCTGAAAATCATGTGATATTACATGATATACATTTTCGTTCTTGGTCCAAAACTGCATCTTCTGAAAGTGAAATATCGCATTCAGTATGTACTGAATGCAATATTTGGTTAATATTAGCCTAATTAATACTACAAATAGTATTGACATCTTCGCACATATTAGTGATTGGATTTTTGTGCAACGTTACTTTTTTCCCTTTTTTTGTTTTATTTAGTTAATATCAGAATGAGTTTGTTTTACTGGCATTTGGGCTTCAGTGCTATTCTCACACAGCCGTGATAATGGTCATTCATGCATTCAGTTTAAGGTGAGAGGTGACCTCGAAAGCAATAGGCTAAATTCTTTTCTGAATGTCTCTATCTCGCGTTACTGAAGTGGTCCAACCCACATGGAAGATGCCACTCGCACTGACAGTCCCTCCTGAACGCACTTTGGGAACTCAGACCGATCATCGTCCCTGCGCATCCTGAGATGACATCTCCAGTCAACAAAGCCATGATAGAGTCCTACGCGCTCATGGTTATGGTCATGGGCACTTTTTTCGTCTATTTCTGCGGGATGGTTTGGGCTTTTTGCAACCCGAAACTGAGCGGGGCAGAAGAGGAGTGCGGGACTGAGAAACAAGCAGAGGAACCCGGGGACGACTGCTGCGCTGCGGATCCCCCAGAGCGGAATTACAGGTGTGCCTGTGCGCATGTGCCGCCGGCACCGCCGTACACCGCAGAGGCGCTCAAACAGACGACTTATGTTAACTTCTGGCATGACACTGACAGTCTGCTGTCAGATTGCACTGCATTTTGTCGTGAGGATCATGGCATTAACAACCAGATTGGATATAGTCCCTCCTGCACCGCATAGGCTGAAAGGCTGGTGACCTATCCCACTATCCAAGTCTATGTATTTGCAAGTGTGTTGTTCTCATCATATAATATCATACTTTAGAGTGAATGGGAGTAAAGAAGAGGGGTATGAAAACGGGCAATGCTCAGTTTTATGGTAAACTCTTTACCAAACAAGACATTTTATTTTGTGCCTGATACACATACAGGTGGAAACAGCAAATCAAACTTACAGAGTCACTGTATCTTGTTCACCCCTGCTTTTCAGTTCTGGCTTGCATGTTGCTGAGCATGAAGAATGTTATTATAGCGAAGTCTGACATCCAGTGTACATGTTGCTCCCAAGTGACCTGCGAGACAGGAATAAAGCTCTCTCCATCCAGGCACTGTGTGCATCAAGATGATCGAGATCCTGCAGGACCACTGTGGGATTATTGTTGCTTTTCCTTCAGTTTCTTCCTCACTTCACTTTCTAGATGCAGTAATTTCTCATACAAAACCTCTGATGTTTCCAAATCGATATCCATCTGCAAAGAAGAACAGAAGACACATAACTCATTACATGAACTATTTTACGAGACAATTTAAACATTTTTAAACCACAGTATACTTTGCCTTACCTTACATGGTTGTGTGTAGTTGGTGCCCAGTCCAGACGTTAAGCTGTGGTACTTGACTTGTGGGTCCAGTGATTCAGGCTTTTGCTTAAACAACCAGAACTAGAAGAAAGAGCAGCATTTCTGAATTAATCTGTATTAAACTGTGTATGAAAATTAGAAATTTAGTTGCACATACCAGGGCTTCAGCTCCATTATAAGGTGTCAGGGTAAAAGTATTGGTGAACATTCGTATCTGTGATCATGTAAGACAGATTCAGATATAAAACAAATGCCCTCAAAACTGGTTTTATACTGATTTTAGACACACAACATATAGACAATCAAGACTAACTGGAAGGACAGGTACGTGTAAGTAATTTGCACTGTGAGAGTTGCACTCACAAGCCAGAAAATAGGCATTAGCAGGGTCCAGAGGAATGCTGGGAAGGAGGGCAGGATGCCGTAGGTCAGACTGGTCATCACAAAACCAGGACAAATCACAGATGAGTACAGACCCTAGGGAGCAAAAGGGCAGTACAGTCATCAATATCCTCAGAGGCTCGGGTGATACACAGCATGTGTGGTGTGTGTGAACCGACCTGTTTGTTGTAGTGTGTGTTGAGCGCCAGGCTGAGCAGGTCGGAGGCATATTTGGAGGAGCTGTAGGGCTGGGTGCCCCTCTGGTGCTGCATGTCCTCAAGGTTAAAGGCTGAGCGGTGAGCGTTACTGGAGGAGGTCCAGATCAGCTGCGAGGTCCGACCTGCGTTACACAGAACTGGCTCCAGCTCCCTGATCTGGGCCATAACACAGGGGGAACTCCACAGTATTAGAGTGCTCATCCTGACAAGTCACTGAGGCTCAGTGTCATCCTTAAATAACAAAACATGCTGTTGTTTCCAATTTGATGGCATGAGGCAGGCTGCTGCTGATTTGAATCAACAAAATTTTAATTAAATTTAGAAACTTGGTTGATGTATGTGAGATATTACTGTATCTTAGTCATGTTTTCACTTATACATTACATATATCTTAAACTGATTAATTAAGAGATAGATTTTAAGCAGCAACGACAATGATATGCCGTCTCTTCCCATGTAGATGCAACGATATTCCTTTCAGAGTCCTTAAACTAATCAACAAGGTTAAATTCCTATGTTTCACCAAAGATTTATCACTTTTACTCCAACTGTCTAACTGTCCAACTGTAAAAAGAATTAAACTATGTGTGAATACAACAGCAAAGATGAATCTCTAATGTATTAAAAGTATAAACAGGAACTGACAAGATTTCTCTTTGATGGCAACACGTCAGAATTCACCTGCAAACGCACAGTAAGCAGAACACTGTCCGCAGTGAGTGACCTCATGGGTAGGACAGTACGTACTGTTAATTTTTAATGAGCATCGCTACTAAGTGACAGACAGATCCAGTATCACCTATTTCTGTTCCAAGGGCAAACAGCTGACAAGAGAACTGAAGGAAATATGCTTTTGTACAATATGTTACACGTGAATCAGACCAAAATACCAACTTATCAGTTTGACAAAGTACCAGTGACTCACTAGAAGGAAGTGACCAAAGAGGTTGGTGGCAAAAACGTCTTGCAGGCCATCAGAGGTGACACTGTCTTTCTGCGTCAGAATCCCCTCGCCAGTGGCAAACATGGTGATGATATTGCTGAAATGAAAGCATTATAGAAATGTGAGCTCTGGAAATGCAGCATGGGAAATAGATGACAGAAGAATTCAAAGTTATAAAGTATTGTCCTTTATATACTACACAGTGACATGGAGGAGCTTCAGGAGTCAGGAACATCTCAAATCAACAATGTACCTGGAGAAGAGGCCTCTGAAAAAGGCCTTTACATCAAACTGTGGGTTTGGCATGATGCCTGCATTCAGGTAGAGGTAATCCAGTCGGTTATATCTGCAAGTGACAACCAAAGACATGGATATTTCATCCTGCAGATTTCTAAACGCACCTGAAGAACCAGTAACATAACCTGCTCAGAAATTACTTTGGGTGTGTGAATGTGTATTTGACTTCCATGCAGCTGTGAGTCCATCCTCCCACCTGAGTTTGACTTCGTGTGCAGCACTGATGACGGAGGAGATGCTGCTGGTGTCCATCTGCAGCAGGGCCACCTGAGCTGTGGGGTGAGAGGTGAGGAGGGCAGAGCGAGCAGCCTGAGCCCGACGCATGTTCCTGCAGGCCAGACACAGCTGTAGACCCTCAGTGTCCTGGGAGAGGAGACGCTCACAAAGTGCCAGGCCAATGCCACTGCAGGGAAACGCATACATGAACACTTACTACTGTTAGTACTCCAGCACCAGGCATTTCAAGATAATAGCACGTAAAACTGACCAAAATAATCTTGTTTATTACAAATTAATGTACTGTAAATAACACAATCCTGCTGCAATTTTGACAAGAATTCTGCCAGGAGAGAGATTTCAGGAAGTCTAATGAATAAATAAATAACATAAATTATACAATCAAATAGCCAACAGGTAAAATTTTCTTATAGCTCATAAAGATCTTAAAGGAAAGTTATGAATACTTAACATTTAAGATGCCAAACTTCAAGTAAAATAAATAACAATAAATACAGACTTTACCTATTTGCTCCTGTCACCAAAACCACCTTGTTCATCTTTTCAGGTCTAAACTGGAAACAAACTACAGAAAACGGTCAAATGTTCTCTCAATGCAACAAGTTTTCTGTCTGGTCCATGCAATGTTATTCTTCACTCTTCACTCCACCTCCACGCTGTGATTGGGCGCAACAGCAGGGCCCAGCCAATGAGATCCTAACACCAGTCAGCTGAGCTTCAAGGACCGCCCCCACAGTATGGATTATTCAGCTCACTCCTATGAATAAGACAAGAGCTCACAAAGAGATAGAAGTCCCTGTTTCAATTTTATTTGTATTTTGTCTATCAATGTACAACTTTTGTTTTAAGTATATAAAAACATTCTCACTGAACATTTGAGTACAAAGATGTAATAAAACTAAACAAATCAGGAAATTTGTCAGGGTGCAATAACATCTTTACATCTGCCTCCAACACTGAGAAGATTGTAAATGACATGAAAAGATTTTTTTATTCAATGAGAATCACCACATGCTTCACAAACACCCAGATTTGTCCCCTAACCAAATATTATATATAACAGATTTGTACAGATTTGTTTGCCCAGCTTGCAAAGTACAGAAAGATAAGACTGACTTCCACATATAGGTTGACACATCATGCATTAGGGCGGACATGAGTGTCTTTAAAGTACGAGGTAAGTGGGACAAAGGCCTCTGATAAGAGTTCAGAACCTGTAAATGCAGCTGATCAGGCTGAAACAGTGGTATGCAGTATGAAGTTCAAGCTATTAGAGTAAAACACAGAATTATTCCATATGGGGAAAAAAAAAAAAAAAAACAGAAAAGATGAAGAAAAGATCCAGCTAATATATGAGCGAATATAAACCACTGTGAAAGTGATCGGTAGCAGTCATACCAGTTCTTTGGTTCCAATGAAACACATGATGTAAAGTGAATATTCCCATTTCCTCCTCTACATTCCTGATTTAAAAGACTATTTACCTTCTCTTTAACATGTTCAACATCCACAACACACTAAGTAACATCTCTCCACTGATACAGACTGTAAACATACTGTTGAACCAACAAAGCACATGGCCAAAACACAGCCCGGATTCCTGATTTTGCAGTTTGCACTGGAAAAAAAAAATATATATATAAATGTATTCTGTATTCTGTTTGTTTGGTGTGAAAATCCAAAGCTTCAGAACATTACTGAATCAAATCAAATATGATACTCCACACACATCAATTTAAAGAGCATATTAATACACAAATATATAAACAAAACATAAACAGAACAAACACATATGAACATATAAATATAAAGTACAAAATATTGATATTTGAGATTTAGACTTATCTATTGAAAATACACAGTCATATACACGTCATGTTCAAATCACTGTAAGAAAACTGCAGGGAGATGAGAAAGACTGAGTTACTTAATATTCTGATTTAAGACGTGGATTTTGTCTGAGCAACTGAGATGAAATACTTGAAATATAATGAAATGTAACAGTAATGGTTTGCTGCACTTTTCCCTTCTACATTCAAGCAGTCCTCCAGAAGAAAACACAAGACAGTTCTTCAACAACGTTTCATAAGTTTGTAACATGGGGAACTTTAAACTCATATTAACAAATGAAATTAAAATATATTTTTAAAAGTGCCGAATGTCACTTGCTACATGTAATTTTGGCTTCCGCAACACATATGTGTGTCAGGGTTGGTGCACTATAAAACAGAATAGAATTTCCTAAGAATACCTGTATGCCTATAAAAACATCTTAGCCAGCGTGATTGTGCTAATTAAACTCAAACGGACACACACAAAATGTCTCTGGTAGTCCATCTTTGTAGTGTGTTAAGTCCATGGAACAGTGTTTCCCAAATTGTAGCTCGTAGCCCACAGGTGGCTCTCACCTTTTTAATCTACTGAAACAAGACAGCTTAAACCTGGAGTGTGTCTGCTACTCTTGTTAAGCACCATTTCTTCCAGAGATGAGCAGACTGGGAATCACTGTCTTAAACATAGCCCTGGCTTAAGGCTGTATTTCCAGGAGGGCTTGGTGTATTTCCTGGAAGGAGGGCCGTTCTTTTGTGTTCCTCCTCCAGCAGCTCAGCATGATCTTATAGAGCGAGTCTGGACACAGCACAGGCTGAGGCAAGTAGATCTGCACGACAGGGAGATAGAAATAAGACCAGGGGATTCACTGACATTTACATGCAGGTGACATGTTTGTAACAGCACTCACCTGTCTTTTCTGGTCCCTGAAAAACTCCCCTGTGTTCTCTATCACCTGCTCATCAGTGAGCTGAGAGTAGGGTTGCTCTTTGCAGAAGTTTAGTATCTCCCACAGGGTCACCCCAAAGGCCCACATGTCGCTAGCTGTGGTGAACTTACCCTGCACAAAAAGATGGTGTAAATAACGATTAGCCTGTTTTCATGCACAATCTGCAAATTTGTTGGTTCCATTCTAAGACATATACACATTAACGCAGGGCAAGCTCAACAAATATGCCTGACTTTTCAAGGAAATATCAAACCAAGGAATTTTCTTTATAATACAAGTAGTAATCCTCACCAGCAGGATGCTCTCCCATGACATCCAGCGTATAGGCAGCACAGCTCTGCCCTGGATGCGGTAGTAGTCACCGCTGTACAGGTTTCTGCTCATGCCAAAGTCAGCTATCTTTATTGTGTACTTCTTGCCCACCAGGCAATTTCGTGTGGCCAAGTCTCGATGAACAAAGTTTAAAGAGGAGAGGTACTTCATCCCCGATGCTATCTGAGTGGCCATGTAGCACAGATTATTGAAGCTGGGAAGGAGATAGAAGAGATAGCGTCATAGGCTGGGAAAGAAAAAATAAACATGTAAACATGTATTTGCAGCAGCCACTTAACTCACCTGACAGTAGGTGCATTGCTGAGCAGAGCGAGTTGTCCCTCGGGTTCATGGCGGGACAGAAACTGATTGAGATCTCCGTTCTCCATGTACTCTGTGATCATGCAGAGCGGGTCGCTGTAGATGCACACAGCTAGGAGGCGAATGATGTTTGGGTCCTTCAGACGGGACATGATCTTTATCTCTTTCAGGAAGTCATTTCTACCAACACAAAAGCATATGCACAAGTGACTTACTTTACACTGATACAAATCAGAATTATATTGACTTCATATTAACAATTCAAGTTACAGGCTGCAAGAGGCACCCAGAGTCAGTACCTAGCATTTTTGTTAGCATCTGAACGGAGCATCTTCACAGCCACTAAAACTGGCAGGTCCTCAGGGATGTCAAATAAAAACTCTTTATTCATGAACTCCTGCATTCCCTCTGCTTCACACAGGTGCACCTGAGAGGAGAGGAGAGGAGAATGAATGTTAAAATTATGACGTGGCTTTTGCTTTCACCTCATCTAAAGCTGTAGAAGGGCACACACCTCTCCAAACTGGCCCTCTCCCAGCTTTTCTTTGAAGGTGAGCAGTTTTCGTGGGAACTCTTCCACTGCAACATCCTTCCCTGATAACAGGTCCATAGTCAGTGCAGGGATGGCGTATGTGTTGCTTCCAGTGACTCCTTGCAGGTTTACAATATCTGCCTCTGCGTAGTGAGGGACGCCATCTTGGACAACAGTGGTTGTGGTGGATTTAGATGCTGCTGTGCTGGTAGAAGCTGGAACACAATACAGGACACTGTAACTAGGGATGTCAATAAGTGTCTGAGTGTGTTTTTTGTGAATAACAGTTTAAACTGATGTGTATTTGTAAGTAGACATGTGTGTTCACCTACCTGGCTCCTCTGAGCTTTGTGCAAACTCCGGCAGCTTACATATGAGGCGTGAGGGCTCCTGGTAGTCTGGACCGAGGGGGAAGATGCGCTCATAGGTGGAGTTGGACTCCTGTTCGCTGATTGTACTGGACTGGTTGTGGTTGTAGGCGAACGTCTCGCTCTGTATTGACAAACTAGCAGTTAGTTCATCATCCAGCATCCGACGGGAGGCCTAGAATAAAGGACGTGGGGGTGAAGGAACAGATCTGACCACCTCCCGAAGGAAAACTCAGAATTCTTAATGAAAAGGTGCAAAATCTACACAAACATCTAAAGGCTGGTGTTTGCTTGATGCATTTTATTTAATGAATGAGTGATGATCTCACCTTCTCCAGCATCTTCTGCCACACTTGCCTCCACAAGATGATGACAATGATGGCCACAAGAATGAAGATAATGGCCACTAAACAACCAATCAAAATTCGGGTGTCGCTGTCATCTACTTTGTGCGTGGGGTCATCTTCTGGGGAGGGAACAGGGAGATAAAACTTCAATAATGGAGACAGCGTGCAAATATCGGGGGCCATACAATACATATGCAGTTAAATCAGACTAGTCTCGAGGTGTTTGCCCATCCAAATAACTGGACTGAATTATAGTTTTTACTTTCAACATGTAAACAGATTTTTGTGAAATGTCAAACACAGAATAGACCTTTCTCACAGGCAGATAATTTGGCTTGTGTAACAAGTCTAACATTAAAGGACCAGTGTGTAGTAATATGGGGATCTATTGGCAGAAATGGAATACAATATTCATAACTATGTTTTATTGGTGTATAATCACCTGAAACTAAGAATCGTTGTGCTTTCGTTAGCCCAGACTGAGCCCTTCATGTCTACATAGGGAGCGGGTCCTTTTCCACGGAGCACCACCATGTTTCTACAGTAGCCCAGAAGGAAAAAAAACCAAACACTGGCTATAGAGAGAGCCTTTTGCATTTTTAGGCTACCTTAAGGCCACCACAGGTTCCCGTACACACTTGGAACGGGAAGGGTGAGGGGAGGGGTATTCACCGCAAAATCAAAGTAATATAAGTTATTACATTTGATTACTTTTCAATATCATTAATTTAGTCTGTTGGTGCCTTAATGAAATATCACAACCTCATGGCCTCTCCAAGTTAATATTCAATGAAAACACAACGCTGAATGAAGTTAATTAGTGTTATTAGATTTCTTTTCAAAAGGTGTTCCTGCTCAGCTAAAAGATGCAAAGCAACAGAATGATATCAGCTTTTTACAGAAGAGAATATATTCAGATGTAACCCCTTTGTAACACAAGCATTTTGATTAGTAACTGTAATTTAATTACGTAAGTTTTTTTCAGTAACAGTAATAGATTACAATTACAAAATAATCCATTACTGTTACTGCCTGCTATGATAAGTAATAAGGTTTGTCCTGAATCCATTCTACATGTTCATTCTCTACAGTATTTACTGTATACCAATGGTCATAACGTAATATACTGTTTTAGTATATAATAAAAATAAATCAACATATATCAATATATAACAATTTATTTACATTATTCCAGCATGTTAAAAAATTGGCCCTATTTAGTAGTTTCATACTGATTACCGTATACTTTTACTATAGACGTGAGTGTGTGAGTGTGTTGCGATCACTAACCTGGTTGTGTGTTAGGTGGCAGTCCTGTCTTAGGTGGAGCCAAAGTTGTGTTGTACATGGCTGTGTCTGAAAGGGCAGATGGCACACAGCTGATAAGACACCAATTATTGATATTAAATCACAGCATCAACTGATTTCAATAGTTTCTTTTAGTTAAGAAATCTGAATATTGTAATATAGAGTTTGAATATTGGATATAACATATAACAATTTCTTATCTCGTCTAACTAATATACAGTTATGCATATACAAACAATGGTAAATTAATATTTACAGTATAATATATAAGAATGTAAAACTAGCAGGGGGCATCTTACTGCAGTTACATATCGTACATGCAGTTCTTCAGTCTATACCTGACTGGAAGGTGATCTCACTGAACAACATCCAGGCATCAGCAAAGTAGAACTGGCATTTGATGGCACTGGCCATGTGATTGGCCAGGTTGACTGTGACGAAGCGGGCGCTGGGATTCTTCTCGTCCACCACAGGGCTGAAAGAGAGCGGCGTGGCCTCCCAGTCTGATTCGGAGCGGAAGTGGCACAGCACCTGCCGGAAAGCCTTGACATGCCGGGAAAACATGTTGTTGCAGTGGACCTAGACATGGGACACATGGAGAGAGTTTTAGTACTGATGAGCGATATAAAAATTGAACACTAAAGAAAAGATTACTGTGTCTTTATTAGGAGTCTCACCTTCATGGTGGTAAAGTTTCGTGTGCGGTCAAACTCAAACATTATTTCCACATATCCACTGGGGAAGCTTTCATTGTACCAGCCCACGTAGTCATACCCAGGCCACACATTGTAGACGTGACTGTGTGTAAAATCGTCCAGACCACACACTCCATCAGTCAGCTGACCCAGGCCCTCTGTCATACTGAGAAAAATAAAGAGGGTGTAAGAGGCAGGAAACACAGAGAGCCATCCTTTATTTTCAAACGATCATCACCTCTGTCAAAATGTTTTTAACAGGTACAACCATTCGACACCAGGTGGCAGCATTACAAAACAAATTCCTCACTTCTGCTGTTGGCTGTGATATTGTAATATGGGCCATTTTCTTTTCCCTCTGCACTGTTTCCCTGACAGAGGAAAGGAGGTCTGTGTCATGGAGGACATTATTCACCATGCCATAATCCAAACACTAATGTCAACAAAAGACGATTTTTTTCATTCCAGTTTTGAAACTTTGTAAGCACGGTTGACTCAGTCATTCCCATGAGGTATTGCCTAACAGTAAACCACCATGACCCACTCACCGCCGTCTGTCTCTTTGCTTTCACCATGGTGACCGGGCAACAACAAGGTGAGGGGGAAAAGTACTGACGAAGGATCAGAGCAATGATGAAGCAGGGAAGTGGTGTGTGAAAGCAGAGGGAGCTAAGTTGGTGAGGAGGGAATAGCGAAACACACAGAAACACACACACCTGTAGATGACAGCTCCATCGTAGACAGAGTCATTGAGGTAAACGGGGTAGGCAGGCGAGGTCATCTGTTCTCCCGCCGGAGCGTTGTACGACACCAGGCCATCTATAAAGAAATGTTGCAATATTGGATTATTCAATAAAGCACCAGCAACAGGTACAAAAAACACGAAAAAATTATTAGGGGGCTGGTGGTGCTGATCTCTGACTGCCTAGAAAGTTTCAGCAACTACAAATGCAAACGTGGCATGAATCTAGACAAGAGACCAAATATAAACTTGATTTAGATTTTGAGCCTGAGAACCTGAAATTTGTGGTTAAAGTGAAAGAACAAAAGGAAAAGAACAGAGTTGATGGTATCAAAGTATCGCAGACAAAAACTGTGATTCATGCAACACTTTTTGAAAAACAAAAGTATAGTGGTAGTATTGGAAACATTAGCTTAAAGGGGTTATTCAGTACTTTGTCAGTAGTGTTGTTTAAACAACATTGCCCTGCTTGTAATTCAAAGATAAGAGAGAATCAGCTGATTCTGATCTTTTACAGCCTCAGATGTAAGGACCGGGGCCTCAGCTCAGTTGTGATCTTTGCTCATCAGTACTAACGTATCCTCTATTTTCTCATCAGTCATCAGTCTGAGTCGCCACCTCAGCATCATCTTACCCAGCCATTCACAGCCATAGAGCTCCACTCTCATGCAGACGTTCATGGAGTGGTCAGTGACTGGCATGAAGCGGACAAAGCGAGCGATGATGGGTGGCTCCAGGTCCTTGAGTACAATGTCGTAGGCGTTTCTGTTTCCTTCAATCACCTGCACATAAAACAAACACACCTTGATCACTAACGATTAAGAAAGACTGAATATGCATGATAGTAAAGTCATGGCCTCTTTATATCATTTAAAGATAATGAAAGAATATTGATTTATTTCAGTATCTATATTATCTCTTTAAACACAGTCATACCAGGTAGAGGCAATGATAGGCCATAAAAATATGACCATGCATCTTTATCAGAAGTTTGTTACAAAGGTCAGAATAGATTATACAGTGACATCCAAACCAGAAGAAAGGGGTTACATCCCAACCAATGCATTGATTGATAAGTTGACTTACCTGTTTGCCCTGTCTGTTTCTCCACGAGATCCAGCGGCTTCCATCGCGACTGTACTTAATCTTGTACATCTGGGCGAACTCATTACCAATGCCTCCAGCGTGTCGACCCTGGGTGCCCACAAGGGTGATGAAGTGGAGCGAGCGCAGGTCAATCTGTAGGAACTCCTTCAGGTTGTCTGGCTCGACCGTTATCTCCGGACACCACGCGCCATCGCCCTCCTCAAAGTCCAACCTGGAGAGAGACAAATGGAGAGGGAAGGAGGGAAAATGAAATAACAGTGGGTGGATGTTCGTATTAGAATTACAGCAGGAAAGGGAAAAGCGCAAGGGAGAAGAAGAATTAGGACAGGATGGGAAGGGAAAGGTGAGAGGAAAGTAGAAGTGAGTGCGGTGGTGGATTTCAGTTCTTACGGCCCGTTATGAAAACACCTTGGTGAGAGCCTGTGTCGTAAATTCTTAAAGTGTTAATTTTGGGCAAGGGGCTGGAAGGGGAGAGGGGGAGCTGGGCGAGACAGAAAACACAGCCAGGATGGATGGGGAAAGTGTATTACATCATTATCCTGATAGTTACTGAAGGCCACCCAAGTTTTGCTGAACACACACACACACACTCACACACTCACACACACACACACACACACACACACACACATGCTTAATCATGTTGCTGCAAGTAGAACTGATACCCCAGCTTGTGGTTTACTGCAAATAAACAAGCACAGGCACCTTACGGGATAAACCACCCACACACATACTCATTATCAGGGTAAACATACTATGAAGCATGCTTGAGAGTTTGGGTCTATGCGCGCGCGTGTGTGTGTGTGTGTGTGTGTGTGTGTGTGTGTGTGTGTGTGTGTGTGTGTGTGTGTGTGTGTGTGTGTAAGACTTACCTGCCATATCTAGCAGCAGTGGATTCGGACCACTGGCTGGAGGCAGAGATGTCCTCGTCCTGTATCTGCCCTCCTGACATGCCCAAAGGATACCGACACACACCTGCGACACAACACACAATATTCGTTAAAAGGCTGGAAGAAATAAGCAGACAAATGGATGAATATGGAAACAGTAATGAAGGTCACTGAAAAACCACCAGACGAACATCCTCCATTTGTTCTGCCTTAAACACTATTTACCAAAAGGGGGAAGTGACTAATTACAAGTGCTGTCTTTACAGAGTAGCTTTTTTTGTTTACCGGCACTTTTTGACTATATTCTGAAAGCAGTAATTGTACTGAAACTTACAGTAAGTCCAGTTTTGATTATGTAGTTCTTGAAAAGCCAGAATTACAGGAAGACCTTAGGTTATACTTTTATGACACATTCGGGAAAATATGACATTTTTGTTTAGTTCCATTTTTTCTTACAAAGCAACCTGTGAATAAAATCGTTGAATTTGACATAGTCCAGTTGGCAGTGGTGGAAAGTAATTAAGTACATTTATTCATATTCAATTGTATCTACATATAATAGCGATGTACTTGTATGTTACATGATTATCTCAATTTTATGTTTCTTCATGCTTCTACTCCAGAGGGAATTATTGTGCTTTTTTACTCTCCTACATTCTTATGATTGTTTAGTTACGTGTTATCTTTTAGTTCCAGATTTTAAATACCTAAAATAAGAATAAAAAAATCTGATGTTATGCAGTATAATTTTACTTTTATATTTTAAGTATACTTTGCTATCAATACCTGCATATTTTGACTTGAGGAATATTTTGTTTTTTGATTTTTAGCTTCTTTCCGAGTGATTTACGATTTTTTTTACAATGTTGTAATGCAACTTTTACTTAAAGGAATGGTTTGGCATTTTGGGAACATAGCTTTCTTTTTGAAAATGAACAGTTATTTAACACTAGATTAGTGCAGAGCGTTAGCTGCATGCTGGCTAAATGCAAAGTAGTACTAACTCTAGCCAGTAGGTGCTAACTTAGCATCAAGATTGGAAACGGTGGAGAACAGCTAGCCTGGTGCTGCCTGAAGGTAAACATCCAACTACAACTTCTCTAAAGCTCACTAATTAGCACGCCATATCTAGTTTATTTAACCAGAACAAAAGCTAATGTGTAAAAATGTCAAGTTATAGGACTATTTCTTGGTCAAGCTAAGTGGCTTCAGTGAGTCTTGTCACTTTGAGGTTGCCAGGCAACCAGTTGAGACTCCAGGCTACATGTATGCTAAGCTAAACCAACTGTCTCTTGGCAGTAGCTTTGTAAGCAACAGACAGATTTGAGAGAGATATCAGTTTAACTCACAGTGAATAAGTATACTTTCAGAAAAAAACTCCTTCCCCCATCCTTCTTCCCCCACTGCCAGCTGGCAGGGTATACTAAAATTGTACTCTTTTTACTTTGTATTGTACTTTGTATTGTACTGATACCAGGATCTCACAGGGGCCTCTTGACAGCGATCTTATGGAACAAAGTATCTGTTATTCATAAACTCTTTTACTTCAACATGATTAATAATTAAGTATATAACAGCAAGATATTTGAGCAGTCTTTCTACCCCTGGTATTTACCTGCTGAAACATGCAGCTCCCTTCGCTTCACTCAGACCAACCACAGCGCTGGTCGGTGCTGAAAATTCAAAACCTTACTCAAACATTCACCAGACGCTCTCAGACATTTCTAAGACAGAACTACTTAATTCCCAGCTCCTGTCAAGAAATCTGCACAATGTGATGGATAGTGCTGGGTGAAGCAGTGGGGAGGTGGTGTAAGAGGACTGCACACAGGGGTTGTCACACAGCAACCACACATGTCACACCACCAATCACACAATTACACACCAAACACACACACAGTACACACACGACACAGCACACACATGCACAGTCAGCTCTACACAACAACAGTCACAGGACACACATCCAGTCTTTGCACTCAAATTGTGGTTGCTTTATTGAAATAATAAGCTGGATCCATCCAGTGTCTCTGCCAGTCCAAACAGCACTGGTATCAAGCACATGCACGGGACTTAGTTACTCTGTGTGTGTGTGTGTGTGTGTGTGTGTGTGTGTGTGTGTGTGTGTGTGTGTGTGTGTGCTGTGTGTGTGTGTGTGTGTGTGTGTGTGTGGTAAAACTGGCTGGTTCGAGCCCATCCCGCCCCCACTGTGTGGTCAATAGAAGCAATATGCCCTCTGTTTCCTGCATGCCCCTCCACCCCCTCATCCTCCATTTTTTTCTGTCTCCTCTCTGTCCTCTCCTCCTGTGTGGTCTCTCCCCTCTCGCTTTTCTTCTTTCCCCTTCAGTGGCGTGAGTTGATTAAAGTTAACACAGTGATTTGGAAAATCTTCATCTCATTAAGACTCAGTGGGTTAGCGGCTAACTGAGCGCGACACAGCCAACGTGGTATCTATCAACTTTTACAAGACTATCAATTAATTTACAGATTCCTAGGTGGAAGGGGAAAAATGAAAGGGCACTTTTCCATCATGTGTTATCAACAGGGTTGGGTTGTTTTGATCTGACACTGATAAATCCACCTAACAGGATATGACCCCTAGGTAGCCTCATTAATGGATGAAAGAGCCTTTGGAACAACCTGATTTCTGTGTATGTGATAGCATTGGGTTGTGGCTTTCAGTGGGGCCCAGAGTCAGAAGTTAAAGCAAGTCTGACCCTGTTCGCCTGGCCCCTTGTCTCACAGAAAAACCTTTGAGAAGATGCCAGCAACAGCAGAGCTGGAGGTTCAAGGCCCTCTCTGTCTCTCTCCTGCTCTTTCTTTCCTCTCTTTTCTCTCCCTGTGATTCTCTCTTCCTCTTTTCTTGATCTCCTCCAAATATTTGCTTAAAAGTCAAGATGTGGAAACCCCTGAAGGGTTGGGACTGGGACTCATGACCTGATACACCGCTCACATGTCTGCGCACACACACACACACACACACACACACACACACACACACACACACACACAGCGAAAAGCAAAAAGCAGGCGTAGATGCAACCACACACATGCATACAGGCTTCGTCTTGGCAGTGACACAATGACAGCTTGAAGGAGGCACAAACAAAAACTGTTCCAGATGTCTACATTTGCCTCCTCTGTCCTCCTTTCATCTTGTCCTCTCTAACCTTTGTTCCACACTGCCCTCTTCACTTCAGCCCTCATCATTTATCTCTAACTGTTTACACCCCTCCCCTCCGCTCCCCTCCACTCCTATTTTTCTCCTCGCACCAGATCGCATTGGCTATAAGCAGACCACATCAACCAAAACCATCTCACTCATCTCATATTCTCTGCATATTAGTGGTATCCTTGGCTACATAATTATAAAATCATTTCAATGATAGGTGCGGTGCTTGAACTGCACGTATGATAGCTGCAGTAAAACACAAATTGTCAGAACCTGCTTCAAGTGCAACAGCAGAGATCTCCAGCAAATGATTTAAAATCAAATCAGGTCAGGATAAGATGACAAAGAACGCCAATATTTGAAAAATAAGTGGAACATTAGGAATGATAATATCTGGCATCTAGTAGTTAAAACGTTGTATCTGTCCTTGGGTTACAGGGTTGCTATTGCAGGCCAGTCCAGCTAGAGGTTATGGGGTTTGAGGTGGTTGGCGTTCCTGCACTTAAAAGCAGCCAGCAGAGGTGAAGAGTGTAAACAAGCATCGAGACGGAGAATGAGATGAGCACAGCGCAGCGGCTCCTCTTTTACTCCTACTGTCTCCACACTAGGATGAAACATTGTCAAAAATCCAAAAGGTACTCTTAGTGGAAATGCTGGGATCATTATGTGTTTGTCATGTGGTATGAGGTGGTGACATAAGTTTTCTATGAAGTCTTGCCAGAAATATACAGTGATACAGACCACAGACAGTGCAACATCACCACTTGGGGAAAACACAGCAATTGCCTGGGACATAATTGATGAAAATAGGAGTCATTATCAGAGTCTTTAACCACATCCTATGAGAGTCCGAGAGAGAGAAATGGGTTTCAGTATATCATGCCGGATGACCGCTCTTCCAAATGTTGGTTTTTGCTGTGTTTATTTATCTACCCAACCCACTCAGAGGTGACCCCTGGGGTGAGCTGTGGGGTCAGTTGAGTGTGTGCATTTGGACACATGCACACATACGCAGATTTACCCCCACACAACACAGACACACACCAACCCCACCACCCTTCTGGCTTCACATTTGGCCACAGCATCTAAAAATATCACCCCAGAAAAAGGTGGAAAAATACCAGCCTTGTGTGGTGGAGGAATAGAAAGAGAGAGAGAGAGAGAGAGAGAGAGAGAGAGAGAGAGAGAGAGAGAAAGAGAGAGAGAGAGAGAGATGAAGGAGTAACGGACCAAACCCCCTCTCCCACTACTGAAAGGCAGGTTTGTTCTGTGGTGTTTGCTGTCCAACCACTGACTCCAAATACACACACACACACAGACACACACACACACACACACACACACACACACACACACACACACACACACACTGTAGTCATGCAAGTTGCTGTTCACATCTGCTACATAATACCTGTCCGTTATATGTCAGGCGTTGTAGAGGGTTGAAGAGCAGCCACTGTGGCCACAAGTGGGAATTATGAAATTACAGCTCAAGACCCTTTTTAATCAGTTGCTTTAAAGCTGCGCTAATCAATATTTTTATATTCACAATGGCTCATCCTACTACATGCAATATGAAAGAGGTCACCTGTAGTGATGAACCCACACCCGAATTATCACCAATCCCTGCAATTCGAACAAGTTCTATGGAGCTTTTCACACTGAGCTATTTGTTTTGGTTTTTACGGCCTCCAAATCATTAAATTTTTAAATTTCATTCACTCTCACAGCTGTCATTAGTAAAAAATGCCACTAAACCCACAGGAATCTATATGCTCACCACAAAACAAACAGCAGACAGACAAAGTTAGCAACTGGCTAGTCTCATTTAGCTAAAAGAGCCAGAGCTAGCTGAAGAGCCAAATATTTCTCTGAGGAGTTTGGTGAAACCAAAACAGAGCTAAAAGGACAGAAAATTTTGGACTTTTATTCATCAGGTGGCTAGAAACACGACTCCATTAATGCAAATTTTTTCTTTCGTCTGCTGGATGTGTAACTAGGCAACTGTTAGCGAACACAACAACAACTTTATAATGCATTAATATGTTAGTGTTGTGTTTAGACCTCGTTTTACTGCTGCCTCCAAGCGGCCAGAAAATTTTACTGCTCCCAAGATATTCAGTTACAGTTTGCTTAACATTTAACATAATGATTATCTGTGATTTGCTTGAACATAACATAGAAGTAGCGCAAGTATAAGAAGGTTATATCATCAGCAAATTGACTCAGTATTGTCGACACACACAATATCTAATTAAAGTTAGTTAAAATTGGCTAACATTAGCTACCAGAAGCTACTGGTCATACCAGACCAAGTAAGAGTGTAGCAGCAAAACTTAAATGAAGCAAGGATGCATTTCATTGCAATGAAGTCAACTTTTGATTGGTAAGAGGAATATTATTTCTTCATTCAGTCTAACTTTAAAGTTATTACAGTGATGTATGATTCTGACGATTGAAAGAGAAAGCTCTAATGCATTCATTCATTCCTTCAGGATTTATTCGAAACATCCTCATGGGAAGTAGCCCACACAATAATAATACTGCATGATATTTGGCTGCTCTGCCCAGGCCTGCGCTCATGTCCACGCCTCCTCCTCTCTCTCCACAGTGAAATAAAGTTCGCCCACTCACGAGTAAAATGGGAAAGACAGGGATGGTATAACTCCATTGCTTGGGAATTTTAAACAGGGGAAAGTTGGCATCACTCAACATCTCAGCTCTACTAAATTCAGCCATGAATATTTCCAGACTGTGGAAAAATGACCCTCTTCTCAATGCAGCAGAACTAAAGCATTAGGCGGAATTATAGGTGCATATACCCTGCTTCCATATATTAGAGCGGGTTGAGATTTGAGCTTTTAGTGACACTGGAGGTGATCATTGTTGGTTTCTGAGTGGAGAAAATCCCTTGGGTCAGATTTTAGATACAAAACTTTGTCTTAAATGGTGAACTTGTTGAACTTTGACCATGATCAGATGCACAAACAGTCCTTTCCATGACTTATGAGTGGTCAAATACTGGGAAACGCACACCACACACACTCGCACAGACACACACACACACACACACACACACACACACACACACACACACACACACACACACACACACACACACACACACACACACACACACACACACACACACACGAGTGCTGGGGAGAAAGACAGAGCTTATTTCAATGGACTTTCCTGCTGTCAGAATGTCTGGTATGCATTAGCCACAGACTCCAGTGGGATAGCTGGATCCACAGCATGCGTGTACATGCACACAAACACACACAGACACACACACACACACACACATGCATGCACGCACTGACAAAAACAAGGAAAGAAGAGAGACAAGAGAGAGAAGTCCCACTGGGGTCAAACACTTACATCCTTAATTAAGTGTAGTTGAGAAGAGGTCTCATAAAATATAGAATTTTTCGGTGCTGAATGCTAAATGCTACAAGATCTACAAGTTTGTGTAGGGAATTTTAAATGTTAAAGGCATCTTATGTTACATTCACATCTGGTTAAATAGGTCAGAAATGTAGCTATTAACATATACAGACATATGCATGAAAGCAACCACAGCATGAACACACTCTTTTACTTGAAAACTCCCTCTATAAACACTCTCTATGATCTCTATCTCACTCGCTCTTTCTGTTCCTCCCCCCGCTTTCTTTAAACTCCTTATAAAACACTCTTTCACTCTGTTAGTTTTGGCTCAAAGAACATACGAATGACAAATAGGGTGAGCCAGGTTTGAAAGTGTGTTAAAATGTGTGTGTGTTTTTGTGCAAAATATGGATAAACACTCTAGAAAACAACTGCTGTTAAAAATCTCTATGTTCAAACATAAGAATGTAACGTTTGTAGTTTTCCCTCTGGACCAGAGCAGAAAACCCCTTCAGCACAGCTTTAAATATGGCTGTCATCATGACCTCATGTTTGCTTTTATTTTCATACTTTCTCAAAATGTAAGTGGGTTTACAGTTTTAAAAACACTGAAGAAATATCATGTTTAAAGTTTTATTTTGAAAGTGGAAGTGGGGTGGAGTAAGGCGGGAGGATGTGGAAGTGATGGGGCATTTTTTTTCCACAGTTATTTTTTTTTTCTTTTTAAGAACTACTTGGCGGAGTGAGATCAGTGTGACCTGTAAACTGTGTTGAACTTTTTTTTTTTTTTTTTGACAAAACCATCATTAATAACTGTTTAAATCTGAGTCTATGCATTCATTATCCTTTCAACAATAAGTAAAACTCAAACCGATGACAGACGCTTTGTGACTGAAATCATAAACAGTAGCCAGTTGAGGGTTTTTACTGGCAAATATGTGCTGTATTTCTAAAATTTCAACAATAACCAAAAACCTCTCTTTGATTCCTGCTTGACTCCGTCTCTACCCACCAAATGTTGCTACTCTATATCCTTGTAAAAAAAAAAAAAAATTATTAGTCCGTTTTCATTGACATCACAAAAACCACCCGTACAGTGGCGGGAGAGCTGGAGAAAAACGTGCATGCTGGGATCAGAGTGGCCAAACCAGAGAGAGGGGACCACATGGCTCCCACAAAGCAGCACTTATCCAAAATCTGAATCAGTCACAGTCTGGACTACCGGACTGCAGCACCAAACCCCAAGACACTACCCAAAACTCACAAAATCATTTTATAGTATTCACAAAGTCTTGAATATGATCTCATTGCAATGTGAGACTTGAACACAGCCGCCCAGATCCTGGAAAATGGAAGATGTAGTTTGCCCTCTTATGGCAGCGCATACCTGGGTTGACCTGTGACGTGACGGCTGCTAACAGGTAGAGGAGGATGAGCAGGAGGAAGTGAATGTCCCACAGGTGCTTCATCCCAAACACACGCACAGAGACAAGCTTCCAATCTGAAAGACAAGATGGAAACACAAAATGTCAGTGACACAGTTTAATATATAGCTTGACCACAAGGATAAAACCGTTAAAAATAGCTCGGTATATAAGCTGCAGCATGAACACATTTTATTTTGTATTTACTCCTCTGTATTCATGGGAACCAAACATTTGTGTAGATATATAAGGGGAAAATTGGGGTTTAATTAGAAGCATGTTTTTATTTCACTCAATAAAAGACATAATAATTGCCACCTACCAGTGGAATTTCCATTAATTTACTGCTTTATCACTCTATGAGAAAAGGCCTATTAAATTCTAACTGTGGTGATATTTCAGTATCAGTCGTACAAGACAGAATAGTCTCAGTTCATATTCAATTAAAATGCAGGTTTCTATTTTGTAAGTTTTCATAACGCACATTAACTGTAGGAACAAATGATGAACGAGTGAATGAATAAATGAAACGACAAATGATGGCGGAAGAGGGGAAAGAGACACTGAGACACTGAGTCACAGACATGACTTCAGCTGGACAGACGCAGCGCCAACAAGCCGCCTCCAACTGACCACTTAGTCCAACAGCAGAGAAAAACAACTAGCTTCAACTCGTTTCTGTCCATATTTCATTTATGATTTCACTGCACTGATCTAGAGGTACAAAAATAATGGACAAACAAGTAAATGCGGACGTCTTTGTTAGCTTCGCGTAAAAACTTTGCTTATTAAATGTTTACGTTGGGAATAAAAGATTTCAGTCACTGACATTTGCTTCACTTTGTGTTGTTATCTGATCGTTGCCAAGTTAACTACTGGGAAAGTCAACTGGGGCATTTTTACTGCTGCTCAAAGTCTCTGTTATATAACTGAGGTTCGTTTTAATTGTTCACATCATGTTAATCACAACTTATGTAACAGAATTATACAGACACCTCTCATTTCTGATATTAGTTAGAAAGAAACTTTTTTTTTTTTAATCCTTTTTTGATATTTTAGCTACTGTGTAATGATTGTGAATATTTATTGTTGTACAGGCAACAGGCCCCAATGTAAATACTAAAAGACATGACCAAAGCGGGGTTATCTAAACCCAATTACACGTGACACAAAACAAAACTACCAGAGCACTGTGGGAATTTTCACAAGACACGAGAGTCTGTGTGTGTGTGTGTGTGTGTGTGTGTGTGTGTGTGTGTGTGTGTGTGTGTGTGTGTGTGTGTGTGTGTGTGTGTGTGTGTGACAGACATTTCCTGGTGTTCATCACTGGCCAAAAACAACATTTTCCTGACATCTCCCCATTGAAATAACAGAAGAATCAGCAGGATGGCGCTCAGACCTCTAGCACTTGGGTCTGGACAATAGGATGAGACTGGGCCACAGTACAAGCCCTCATTCACATACAGTTAAATCAGCTGTCAATGGCTGTCCTGTATTATAACAGCCCTATTCCTAAAATCTCATATACATTGGGCCTCCACCAGCAGTAACATTGTGTGCTAACACTCCAGTTGACCTCTGTCCAAATGAACCTCTGACATATATGAAATGCAGGTTCACATCTGCTGCAATCTGTCCATGGGAAATAAATCCAGACGTATTGATTTTGAGCTCATGCCCAAATTTACTTTATTTTTGAATAGCATTGGTAAACTTGTAAAGATACCTGATATTAAATAACAAATTCCTCAGCTGGATTGGGCATGTGCATTTGGAAATATAACACTAATCTTTCTTTAATTAAGAAGTGCTCAAGGATACCTTTAAAGTAAACCTGTAGTAAAAATGACCTCAAACTCAAAACACTCTCGTGCGACCAGTGTTGATGAATTTTGTGGCACTAATTACAACCTGACTTGCCTCTTTCTTTGTGTCCCCTACATATAATCTCATTGCTTTTCTTGCTTCCATTTCCTGCAGCTTCAGGTTACAGCCACTTCCCACTGAGACCCCTTTACTAAGCTTAACTCCTCTTGGCTTTTCATAGCTAATGAAACACAAACACCCGATGGCTTGTGTGCATTTGGAAGTCAAAAATATGTTTACCATGTGCTGGCGAACATTTATGTAAAGGCTGCTTGTGTTGTATAAGGGAGGAGAATTGACCTTTGGTTCTACATCTGGAGACTCTCAAAGGACCATACTGCTGTGTGTCTGCATGTTTTAGCCCATTTACTGCAAATCACAGACTTTTTACAGTAGTGCTCACCATTTAGCAAAGCATGCTATAACTGGAGATGGTGGGCAGTCTCTCAGTTGTCAACATTTTTGGTCCAGAGTGAAATATATCCAAAATGACTGGCTTGATGACTGTAACACGTAGCATAGACGTAAAGGGTTCCCAGAGGATGAATTCTCCTGACTCTGGTGTTCCCTCCACTTCTCATCATCACGTCTACTCAAACACTTAATGACAGGATATATCTGAACCTCATAAACCAAATTCACACCAGCCTCAGCTGCGCTTTGAGATCAATTGTATCATACATAGCATTGCTATAAAGCTGCTGTTAACATGTGAATATGTTAAATGTTCACATGCTATATTTAGCATTACCCTCCAAACACACTGGTCTTTGAGCACAGTTAACTCGGCACAGCTGAGCCTAACAAGCTTAGTCTAATGTGTCCTTACATGACCACCACACCAAGGAAAAGCGTTTTAATTTAGACAATAACATGGCCTTTCCTCTGGTACCACCCTCACACCAAATGTTACATGTCATGCTCCACTAGTGGTGAGGATGTAACACCAACACAGTTGTTTTTCATCCGTCCACTGCATTGCATAAGTATGACAGCCTCATGACACCACTGGGATGGTTACAGACACAGATAGATGTATTTTATTGCCACTTTATTACCATAGGCGTTTTTGGTACATGTCAGTAAAGTACAAATCACATACACTTTAATATAGCTTTAAAATTGATAAAAAGCTTTTTTTTCCTATCTTGTAAACCACCACAGGTCTCAGCACGTATCGGTGGAGTAAGAACATCTATTTGTAGAGACTTTGAAATTGCTTAACAATGTAAAGTCTGCTGTGTGGTACATTCACATGCAGGTAAAAAGCTCGGACATCTAAGTTTTGACAGTCAGCTGGTCACCAGCGACTTTACTAAACTATGCTGTTGGAAAATCATACCAACATGACAAATGGAAAACGAAAAAATGGACATAGAGAAAATGAGAATGAGAGTCTGTTTAACAGTCAAGTCTTAAGTCTCAGATGTTGAAGCATCCCACTAGTACATGAACACATCCACCCAGCTTCACTCTTTTCTCTCTGGGGTGATTTTCACACAGCGCTGACATGTACTGAGATCAGTGACTGCCTGGAAGTAAGAGAAAGAAAACTGCTTTTGTCAAATTTAAATGGTAGGTTTTAGAGAGTAGTTGGTTTTAATGTAAAATGTATGCGGTTTCTAGTGGGTTAAGTTGGTGGGAAAACTTTTATTTTGCAACTTTTAAAAGCTTTTCCAACAATTTACACCTTATGATGACACATTTCTCACAGTTTCTCTACTTTGTTTTCTCCTCAGAATTACAGCAAATATGAGATCCAAGCCATTGTTGGTTTTCTTATGCTCTGAGTATAAATTGAGCATAACACAAGAAACTGTCTAGATGGTCAGGGTTTAGTGATTGTTAAACTGCGGATTTCCTGTGTATCAGTTGTATTGCTAGTGCCTCCTTTGGTTGCAGCTGTGTTCTCGATACCTGTATGAAGCAAACAGCTGTTATTCCACAACTGGCTTCTGCTTCGGTAACATCAGCTCAGTCAGCAGCGCTGAAGTTATGGAGGCACAGGTTCACAGTTCTGGAAACTTCTGTTCGTTCTTGGCTTACAGGAATACAGCAGGAAAAACTTATTCGTGCCCTATCTCGGTTTCAAAAACTATCTATTCCAGGATTTTTTTCCTTTTCTTATTTAAACCTTCTCAGAGAAAGACTGTATATAAATAAAGTAATAAACTTATAAAAACATTGTTGAATCATCTGAAGGTTTAAATAATAACTCACCGTGTATAAATTGTCTGTCCTTTGCCTTTTATTTATTATGCTCTTGCTGTCATTAAACTTTTTTTCCACACAAAGGACCGTTATAATAATTTATATAATATAATTTCATAATGATCTATACTTTATTCCATCAATTATTTCATATTAAGAGGTGCAACGTTTTTGTTTGCACTTCAAAATTCATTCCAACAGCTACATCTTACATTAACAGTTCATTTTCTCACGTAAGGGTAAAAGCGAGATGGGGTAATGGGAGACAGAGGCCCGCAATGAGGAGCAGCTGCACAAACCCTTCAGTCATGAATTTATTCTCATGGCGGAGACGGAGCAGGAAAAAGAAAGGAGATCTAGGTCACATAGGCTTCCCCACCTGTATGTCAGAGCAGAGCACGGAGAGATAGACTGTAGTTTGTCTGAACCTTTGTCATTCAGCGTACAGGAGTGTATACTACGGGACAGTGAATGTTTTTTGAAATTCTACTTTAACTGAGAGGAATTTCTGGAAAAATATCCCCTTCCAGGTGCTGTACGGTGGACATTTCACTGCTAATTAACACCCATCCAGCAGGCTGAGTTTGACTTGTATATGACTGGTCTGAGGTAAACTCTGCGCTCCTGTGTAACCATGGGTTGAGCTCATACTTAGCTGACTAACAAAAAAGTGCTGGCAGTCCAATGTGAGCAGGTACGAGGAGAAAAACAGGAGAAAGAAGATGTCAAGATGGACGTACCAAGGTGGTGTGTGTCGAAGGAGGAGTAATATGTCCAATGAGGGACACAACTGGTGTCAAAAAAGTATTGTTGGAGGGTCTTAGTAAAAAAATCACGTCACGTCCATTGACACTTCTAAAAGTGCTCAGAATATGAGCAAAAAAATAAACCTGAGCGGAAAGTGTGTAAAGTAATCAAAACAAGGCCCTTTGAAGTAGACAAGCATGTTTGACACTGTTTCACTTTTCCAAGGGGGAATTTTCTCATCAAATATAAATCG